TCTGCTGCTGTTTTGTTCCTTCAGTTTTTGCTTTGTTCTTATGCTCCACAGATGAGTGAAATCATTTGGTACTTGTCTTTCTCCACCTGGCTTATTTCACTGAGCACAATACCCTTTAGCTCCATCCATGTTGTTGCAAATGGTGGGATTTGTTTTCTTCTTATGGCTGAATAATATTCCATTGTGTATATGTACCACATCTTTATCCATTCATCTGCTGATGGACACTTAGGTTGCTTCCATTTCTTGGCTGTTGTAAATAGTGCTGCGATAAGCATAGGGGTGCATATGTCTTTTTGAAACTGGGCTGCTGCATTCTTAGGGTAAATTCCTAGGAGTGGAATTTCTGGGTCAAATGGTATTTCTATTTTTTTAGTTTTTTAAGGAGCTTCCATACTGCTTTCCACAATGGTTGAACTAGTTTACATTCCCACCAGCAGCATAGGAGGGTTTCCCTTTCTCTGCATCCTCACCAGCATTTGTTGTTCCTGTTCTTTTCTGTGTTGGCCATCCTAACTGGTGTGAGGTGATATCTCATTGTAGTTTTAATTTGCATTTCCATGATAATTAGCGATGTGGAGCATCTTTTCATGTGCCTGTTGGCCATCTGAATTTCTTTGCTGAAGTATCTGTTCATATCCTCTGCCCATTTTTTTAATAGGGTAATTTGCTTTTTGGGTGTTGAGACATGTGAGTTCTTTATATATTTTGGGTGTTAACCCCTTGTTGGATTGCTTTCCACTTTTTTAAATTTAGTATTTCTACTGTCTGTTGTCTTAATCCATTTAATACTCCCTTACTTCATTCCCCTCACTCCCACCACACACACCTTCTCACCTTCAGGCCTTCCCCAGCACCCGCCAGCCTGCTGTTTGTTCCAGTATTCAGTGTTCACTTTTTTGTAATGACTGTGTGAACGTCATGTTACTCTGAACTATGTTGTATATACTGATTGCTTTTCCTTCACTGCTTGTTTTCTTTGAAGTTAATTGTCATTTTGTTGTTGCTTAATCATCTGTATACTTACTATTAACTTGTAGAACTAAACTCCTAGGATTGTTTAAATCATCTCCCAAGAGACTTAGATTCATAGCTAATTTTTCACTTACGTCTTGAAGTCCGTCTTTGCCTTTTGACCTGCTACAGTTGGCTTGGTTTTGCCACTTTTAAACCTAAGAGCTTCTATCACTGTCACCACTCTAAGTGTTCTTTATACCCCTTCTCTGTTGGATTCCCTTTTTCTTGGGTCCCATGTTGTCTTCTTTCTTGGTGCAGTCCACCAAAAATAATAAAATCTTCAAATAACCTCTTGAGGAATGATGATGCATGGCAGACATTCACAGTCTCAAAAATGTTTCTGAAAATAACAATGCGACTCTCAGGCATAGCTCATGATTTGTCTGGCATAGAATTCTGTGTTTTATAATAAAAATTTTAGGTTTTATAATGATAATTTTCCATCAGAACTTTCAAGGTGTTGCTTCATTACTTTCTAGCCTTTAGTAAAAAAAAAAAGCCCTAAAAAAGCCAAGCTAATTTCAGGTCTGAGGAAAGGAAGGCACAAGGTGAAACTGGGACATTTTGCTGTGCCAGAAAGCAGGAAAATCACTTAAGAATAATGGGTCACATCAAAAGGATATAAGATCCAACTTGAAAGTGATGGCTCTTTCAAGCGAAGGCCTGCTTGGCCTAAAGTGGTGACTTGGGCATTAAAAGGAATAACTGTTAGAAGACTAAAACACTTTGAATCAATAAAAATCTGCGAACCCTTTATCATATTAAAAAAAAGGATTTGTACCATTTTAGGCTACTATTAAAATTACTCACTGTTTTGAAAGCAGTAATTAAGGAAAACGAAGTAAACATTTATCCAGCCCCAACTGGTGAGGGAGAGCTGTACTTTACAGAAGAACATCAGCTAACAGATTTAGAAGAAATGAGTTACTCAATGTAAACTGCTTGAAACATATACACACAAAAGCAGTCTGTGAACCTACAGCAAAATTATACTAAATGGTGAAACACTGATGTTTTTCCCTTAACATTGTGAACAAGGCAAAGACGTCCACCCTCACCACTCCTATTCAACACTGTACTAGAAATCAGATCAAGTACAATAGGCGAGTAAAAAAATTTTGAAGTATACCTATTGGAAAAGAAAGAAAACTTTTTTATTCAGACGTTATTATGACCTATTTGGGGAGGCAGCCTTGGTGATGGTTCTAAGCATTTGTCATAACTCATGGAAGAGCACACAGAGAAGAGTGAACTCTACTATATGTAAGTCAAAAATTTAAATTCTTAAATTATTATTAATATCCAAAGGACAATAAGATACTGCACTATGAAACAAGAACATGATGCCATAAAAAGGGGATATGTAAAGAAAAAACAAGTATGCAAAATTAAAATATGAAAGGAGAAAGAAAACTCAATAGAAGAATTATTTTTACTAGGCTCCCCCCTTCACCAAGTCCCCCCCCGACATACCCCTTCACAGTCACTGTCCATCTGCGTAATAAGATGCTGTAAAATCACTACTTGTCTTCTCTGTGTTGCGCAGCCCTCCCCGTTTCCCTCACGCACTATACATGCTAATGGTAATGCCCTCTTTCTTTTTCCCCGCCCTTATCCCTCCCTTCCCACCCATCGTCCCCAGTCCCTTTCCCTTTGGTGATTATTAGTCCATTCTTGGGTTCTGTGATTCTGCTGCTGTTTTGTTCCTTCAGTTTTCCTTTGTTCTTATACTCCACATATGAGTGAAATCATTTGGTATTTGTCCTCCGCTTGGCTTATTTCACTGAGCATAATACCCTCTAGCTCCATCCATGTTGTTGTGAATGGTACAGATGTGTTCACTTTGTGATTTCACTGAGCTGAGCAGTAGATTTGTGTGCTTTTTGGTATGTGTGTTACACTTCAAATAAATGCTTATGTGAAGTGAAAAAGAAGCTAGTTGAATCTCCATGTGGCCAGAATTTATTAATAGTGATCAGAGTGCCATCAGAGTGGGCATCTAGGTAACACTCTTTCACTGGGGACCCCTGAATATCAGTATCTGAAAATGGGAACTACATGTGTTTGTTCTTCCTGCTGTGTCTAACTGGAAGTCTTTAGGCCTCTTTCTTGTCCTCTTTTATTGTCAAGACAGGGTATCTTTTGATTACTTTTGAAAGATGCAAGACATGGTGGGAATATCAGTTTCTTCTTTGAACAGTATAGTAGTAGAATTGGAATTTCTGTTCATTCATTCTTTCAGCAAATGTCTATAAATACAAACAGGATCCATTTCCTCATGGTGTGTAGAGCATATTAGAAATTGCAAACATTGAAAGTAAGTGGGGTGAGTTATGGGGGGAAATATGGACTGCCAGAGAAGCCTAGAAAGGGGAGCTTAGCCTAGTCTTCAGAGTCAGGGAAGACTTCCCTAAGGAAATGGTATTTTAGTTAGATGAAGAATAGAGGAAAGTACTAGGCTTTATTCTTAATGAAAATGTCTCACCTTGTTGTGAAAGCCTTTATTCCTGTCTGTCTGACCCCCCTGTTATGTGATTGCAGGTGGAGAGTATAGTGAAGATGATATAAATGAATTAGTGAAGGAAGATGAAGTGGATGGTGAAGAGCAGACACAGAAAACCAAAGGGAAAAAAAGAAAAGCTCAGAGCACTCCAGCCAGGTGATGCCGCCCTCGAGGCCCTTAGACGTCAGGGGCTCTTGTCACAACTGTCAGATTGCTGGGGCCGAACTGAAGAGAGGTGTCTTTCTGCCAGGGTTTCTTACCTTTTCTCTTCAAGGGAAACATTTGGTGACATTTTAGGATTAAATTCTCAGTCTCTGGCAAGCTTTCAAGTTTTTTTGAGCTTTAATATGTATACATGGTTAAGATTAAAAGCTCAGTTATTGCAAAAATGTGTACCCTGTCCATAGCCCTCCCTGCTTCAAAGAGCTGTGTTAACAGAAATATTCTGTGTATATACAAACAGGTTGCATATATATTTCCTACTCTCTTAAAAAAAAAGGCAACAAATAGAATCATACTCTGCATGTGGTTTCTCACTTTCATTATTTCACATCTTGGAGATGATACTATGGCAGTACATTCAGCTCTACCTAATTTTTTTCAGTGACTGCAAGTATTATATGGCTAAACCTTGCATTATTTAAGCATTCCCTTATTTAGAGACATTCAGATTGTACCTTGTCTTTACTGTAGTAAATGAGACCGCAACGAATATTCTTTGTATACATCTTTGTATATAAGTACATCTGTAAATCAGATGTGTAGAATTAGAATTGTTTGACTCAGAGTTTATGTGCAGTAAAAAAATTTTAAAAATACTAAAAAATTACCTCCCACAGGCCCAGTACTGAATTACAGTCCCACCAAAAATTATGAAAATTCTGACAGATTATTTAACTCAGATAATGGAATCTTCCATAGAAATTTTTACCTCTTCCTAGGCATTGAAGCAAAAAGCAGATTATAGTTTATAAAAGGGAAAGAAAGAATTTTAGATACAGATGATTCACTTGCCAGAATAGTCTAAGAAGCAGTGTGCTCTTGGGCCCAGTTCTTTTGTCCTTGAGTTTTTCTGTATTCCAGCTTTTATATCGTTAGAAAGTGGGAAGAAATGTGTATATTTCCCCCCCCAAGAACTCCAGGAGGAAACAGTGCAAACAATTTGAGAATCTCCACAATAGAACATGTTCTCCAAATGGAGTAACTTTAAAAAGTCAAAAATATCTGATATATATGTTCTTGGAACACTTTCTGGACAGTAGAGTCTGTGAGTGATTTTGAGTGTTTTCTTGGTGAAAATAGCTGGCCCTGACTTAGAAGTAGAACGTGACATTTTAATTCTAAGAGTTTGGGGAAAATAGTAACTGTAAGAATGCAATTCTTTATACTTCCACAAAATCTCAGCTTATCTCCTCTCCTTCTCCCAATGTGGATGTTAATCAGTAGTTCCCAGATTTAAAACTTTTCTCAGGTTTGCAACATTCTGTTTGGAGTCTAGGAAGGGATAACTGAAATCCTTCTTCATTGTCTGTTTGGTCTGCCCTTTTCCTTGTGACTGTTGGTGTTTAGGAGGAGAAAACAAGGTGGCCTGTCTTTAGAAGAGGAGGAAGAGGACGCCAGTGAGGAATCTAGAGGAAGTAGCGGTGAGGAGGAAGATGCAGCTGCACAGCAGGAAAAAGATGTCGGGTCAGAGGATGCAAGGAAGAAGAAGGAGGATGAACTATGGGCCAGCTTCCTCAGCGACGTAGGACCAAAGTCCAGAGTGCCCCCCAGTACACAAGTCAAAGTAAGCCGATAGATGAATGAGGTGAATGCCTCCTCACAAATACCCTAAGTTCCCAGATTTCTTAAATTTACAAAGTGAGATTTGAAGCTTACAGCAGAAATCAGATTAAATGCCTTTTGATAATAACTGTACTAAGTGAAAAGCAAAGCTTTCCTTATGGTAGGAAAAGTAAACCTTTCTAATCAAATAAATTTCCAGGAGGTCTTTGTTTAGAGACATGTTGAAGAATAGCCATAAACAGCATGTTTGGATGGTTCTTTTAGGTTTCATCCTTATGTGAAACTGATTGCATTTCTTATTTTTTGCATAGAGAGGAGAGGAGACCGAAGAGATGAGTTCAAGTAAATTGCTGGTAAAAACAGAAGAGCCAGAGAAACCTAAAGAAACCGAAAAAGTCAAAATCACCAAGGTGTTTGATTTTGCTGGGGAGGAAGTCAGGTAAGATGACTTCCACAAACTTCAAAACTAGTTCCTTTAAAAATAAGTATCTTTGTAAATGGTGTTAGACATCTGTCCACATTCCAACCCATCACAGTATTTTGGAAGAGTTACATTTAAACTCAAGGAAAACCCTGGCTCCATGAATTATCAGGAAACATGAGAAAGGCCCTTTGACATGTGCTAATGTAGCCTCTGGGTATTATGAAGTGGTTGGCTGAACAGAAGCAAGAAGTAAGAGGTAAGTATTTAGTTCCACTTACAAATCACCATGCTTTGTGACTTTGGCCAAGTCCTTTCTCCCTTTATTACTTTACTTAACTGAAGGGTGAGCTCCAGTGAAGCCTCTGAAATCAGCTAGGAATTAAAAATACTAGGAGAGAAATTTGGTTCCAATATTATTTCCTCACCTTAATGCTATTTTTTAAATTGATTCCTGAGGTTTGTTACTAATTTTTCAAAAAATTATAGGGGCTTAAGAATGTCCTGGCTGCTCTAGGTAAGAACCACATGTCTAGAATTTTCTCTTCCCCATTTATTTAAATTTTATTATGTGAAAACAGATCTATAATTGAGAGATAAATGTGAATAGATAAAATGCCAATCAAAGCTTTTCCTCCCCAAGTTTTTTTCTGAAAATCTCACACATAGCAGAAGTGTTGCAGGAGTAGTATCACAGTGGACACCCGTATACCTGTCACACAGATCACTGCTTGTTGATGATTGGCCCCTCTCGCCACCATCTATAACTGTATTTCTCTCCTGTTTTGGCTGAACCATTTGAGAATTACTTGTAGACCTCATGACCTTTCCTTTTTCTTAAGAACAAGAGCAGTCTCCATACCGTGTAACTCTCACATCCCATAAATATCACATTAATGCAGATTATTATCTAAAGTTCTGTGCTGAAGGACCCTGATTTAAAATATTCAACCAGTTGCAGACCAGTATTTTTGTAAACACAACAAGACGAAATTACTACTAGGAAAATAAATGTAAAAGATTACAAAATGTAAGTCTAAATTCTTAACAGTTGGAATCAACAGACATAAAATTACATTTCAATAAATATGGTCAAATGAACATAAGATAGGAAAAGAATTATAACTATACATGCTTTTTAATTGAAGCATGAGCATAAGTGATTGATACAGGAAATCACTGTTGTATTTATACCTTTTATATTCTGTAATTATAACAAAAAAGTAAAATATCAGTTCTCAGTACTTAACATCTAGACACACACTTTGAATAAAGACTGTGTATATCAATTAAAATTTTCAAAGTGACAAAATAGCTTATTCTTGTTAATTTATCTAAGTTGGATTATGACATCACTACTCCTGGTGGATAATATATGTGTAAACTATTTCTGTGCCAGTTTTCTTTTTTAATAACACTCATAAACCCATCCCAGATATTTTTGTGAGGATGGAAGCATAGTATAGATTTTAAAGCCATTTATTAAGCTCAGGATTTTTTTGACTTTTATCCAAAACAAAGTCAGTGACACAGTATTTTCAAAGTTCATTTTCAAATGCATTTTGAAGTGCTTCTTCAGTAACTAGTCCCAATAATTCTTGTCAAGTTTCAATTAAAATTAAGTTATATTTCAGTGGAAAAAAGGAATTCTGGATGCATGTATGTCCTGTGTGTGGGTTTTCTTTTGATAGAAAATACAATTCAAAAACATTCCATGAAACGTGAATCTGTAGAAACTCTGTTCTTCCAGGATTCTGACTTTTCATTTTTACCTTTATAATTTATTTGCTACTGAAAACATGTTGAGTCACTTCCTGTGTGGAAGCACTAAAATTATTATAAATGCTAAAGGTATCAGATAAATAAGCAAGTTTTACTGTCTAATTGAGATTGTTTAAACTGGGGAACCAACCGGTTATTTTTTTTCTTTTAGAAACACTCAGTTTATCCTGTAGTTCATCATTCTCAACAGCACTTTTCCCTTACATAACCTTTGTACTTCAGAATGCAATGTAACATGCACATCTGTGGTCAGCTTTCATTTACCACGTGTAAAGAGTGATTTAAAAAATTGATGCATTAGCCTTACATAAATCGGAATTTTTACTACTGTGCTAAGAACAATGGCTTTTTCTTTGGCAGCGAGGTTTTTCTTGATGAAGGAAGCAGTGTGGTAATTTATGTTCTAGCACAGGCTCCTTAGCCTAAACTGTTTTCGTGTCTTAGAGCTGTGCCGTGGGAACACATTCTTCCAAACACTTAAACCTCCAATCACCTTTGACCTTGTGTGTGATCCTAGTTTTATTATACAGATCAGTGTCAGTTATGTTTATCAGCAAGAAACTGATAAAAGAATCCTTTATATCACCTTCATGTTTAAATCACATGTATACCCTGATAATTTTCATCTTAGCAATGCTCAGCAACGTTCTGGCAATCTTCACATTTCACTGAAAACACACTGCTGCCTTTATTATAGTTTTCACTATCATCAGCCAGATGAGATCCTGAATACTTCAAGCTGTGGTGTCATTGGAAGGTATGCTTGAACCACCTTCTTTGTCACAGATTCACCAAGATTTCCAAGCAAACATCTTTGACGCAATCTTCTACTAACATCTTGGCAATGATACATTTTTAAAAATTGCCAGCTAAAAGTGCTCTTTTCTCAGAAGACCACAATGCACTAATGTTAATATTTGGGTTTTTGCGTCTGTTTCTGTTGGCTTCTTATTTCAGTACTCTTTCTTTAAAAGAATTCTTTTGATTCTGGACTTATTTCTTTATGTTCTGTATGTAAGTGCTGCTGAAGTTTTGATGAATTGTTGCTCTATCAGCCAAAACATCTCTGCAAAGAATTCACTATGGTTTTAGCACTGCATAATCAAAATCCAGGTTCAGTATATGGGGGCGCATAGAGTAAAAGTGGTTTGACCTTGGTTGGCTTTCACTTTTTTGGAATCACGGCTGCTGCTATGTGGCTTTACTTCTACTGCATCCAGGAGAGAAATGCGCAGTAAAGCTTGTTTTGCCATCAGTAAATTAGGATTAAAAAGATACCAGTTTTACTTGATTTACTAGTTTTAAACTATAAATTTTAAGTCACAGTTGGTTAACAATTACTGTAAAAATAAACGCTTACTTTTTATCACATTTTTGGGTTTTAGTTGATAAAATAACCCTAAACTATCACATCCATTGTAATGTGGTCTTACTGTATGTGAGTAATATTACACTTGGCCGCTTTGCAAGGTTGATGCTACCTGAATTGATTTACACTCTGTTTTACACAGTGAGCCCACCAATCGTGTTTTGAATATTGTGACATGATCAAATTATTAAACAAGTTTCTAAATACTTAGAATCTCTGTACCCATCTCATCTTGGACCACAAACAGATAAGTTTTGCAACCCATGTTTTAAGTAGCTCTGTATACCATTTTACTCACTTTTTTCCTTTATTCCTGTAATAAATACTCAGTTTTTTCCTTTATTCCTGTATAAATGTTCTTTATAACTGTAGTCCAACATCTAATCCAAGATTACATTTTGCATTTAGTCCTTTTAGCATCCCTTTTTTTTTGAGATGGCATCTCTCATATTTATTGATCATATGGTTGTTAACAACAATAAAATTCTGTATAGGGGACTCAATAGCATCCGTTTTCTAAGCTCCTTTTTTAAGCCTTTTTTTAATTTCACAACATTGATATATATTTTTAAGGGTCCATTTGTTTTGCAGAATGTGTCTCCCTCAGTTTGCAGTGTTGCATTGTTTTTCCTCATAATTAGCTTCAAATTAATCAATTCAGACAAAAATATCACACTGATGATGTTTTGTCTTAGTGACCACATTGCTAACACCCAATATTGGTGATGATAAGTTAACCACTTAGTTGTATCTGTCAGAATTCTAGACGTCCTTTTCCCTGATAATCAGTCATTTGGGGGATCCATTAAGTAATTCTTCTTATTTTTTATTTTGGTATCATTAATCTACAATTACAGAAAGAACATTGTGTTTACTAGGTTCCCCCGTTCACCAAGTTCCCCCCACATACCCCTTCACAGTTACTGTCCATCTGCTTAGTAAGATGCTGTAAAATCACTACTTGTCTCCTCTGTGTTGCACAGCCCTCCCTATGCCCCCCACACACTATACATGCTAATCGTAATGCCCTCTTTCTTTTTCCCTGCCCTTATCCCTCCCTTCCCTCCCATCGTCCCCAGTCCCTTTCCCTTTGGTAACTATTAGTCCATTCTTGGGTTCTGTGATTCTGCTGCTGTTTTGTTCCTTCAGTTTTCCTTTGTTCTTATACTCCACATATGAGTGAAATCATTTGGTACCTGTCCTTCTCCACCTGGCTTATTTCAGTGAGCATAATACCCTCTAGCTACATCCATGTTGTTGCAAATGGTAGGATCTGTTTTTTTCTTGTGGCTGCATAATATTCCATTGTGTATATGTACCACATCTTCTTTATCCATTCAT